CGCCAGTCTGACTGCTCTCTCCTTAAAGCCTGCCCTCCCATAGGTTTTGGAGGAGTCTTCGCTCAGTAGTCGGCCTTCCCTGCAGCCACTGATGCCAAGGAGCTCCCAGTGCTTCGAAGAGTCAACAGCTAGCATGCTTTATTCCACTGACAGAGCACACTAGCACGCCCATATGCTGCTGTATTCTCCTCTGTGTCTCTTGTCATTTAAATTTGGGGTACCTTTCATTTTCAAAGCACAGGAATGACAACTACTGAATAAAATGCATAGTTCATGGTTCTATAACAGTGTGTTTCTATCACTTGTTTTCACTGTTAGTCTCTGTCTCATCTTTCGATTCGCTTTTTTCAAACAAAAGACTGAAAAAGAGAGGACTGGCCTCACTTGGTCAATCCTCTCTCGGCCCAAAGACTGAAATAGTGACTCACAAAGCTCTTTCTTACATTTTCTCGATTATAAAAGATGTTTTATATTTTCCTATAATAATACAGAACACTATTAATTACCTTTGGCATAGCCACCCTGCACCAGAAGATTTAATGAAGGAGAAAAGTTAGACCAACGGTTAAAGAGCTTGTCCATCATTTAAGAATTTGTCACACATTTTGTCCAATGGAAGCAAGGGGTGGACACGGACAATTTTAATTCTAGTGCTTGCATTCAACTGACAATTATTCATTGGGGATTTTGTTGAATGAGTGACATTTTTGCTTTACATTTTAACTCATTCATACGCGGTGGTGATCACATAATTGAGGGTGGTGTCTTGCCTAAGGACACAATAGCAGCACAAACCATACGCTCTGGCACGTGATCTTACAGCAGACTCCTATCCAAATTATCCTGCCAGTATTCCCTCCACCACTATTCAATAAGTTACCATGTTTACATCAATAACACAAATAGAAGGAATTCTGCAAACATAATTTGTGTTGTCTTCTGCAGATACAAGTGTTATTATGAATTAACAAAAAATCTGTTTAAAGAAACCGTATAAGCTTTGAAATTCTGAGTTGTGAAAAACACAGTGTTAACAAAATATTCTGTGTCTTTATTTATTAGATCCAACAAGCCAATGGCAATATGATTAAAACAACACCATACCAATCTTGTTGTTAGAAAAAAATGCATGATGCTTTTTTGTCGCTTTCTTCAAACAAGCGTAAAAGTCTCTGAACATTTGAGAAGCTCAAGCAAAGCCAAGCCTGACACAAGAACCAATACAAGCCAAAACTCTGATGCTTTCAATATGAGATTTCTCAGACAAAACAGAAAATAAACAGCTCTTGCACCTACAGTATATTTGACAACAAACTTTAGTCTGAGAACCCTATGTCTTCCATCAGTCCTGGATCTATCTCAGAAAGCTTTATGTATAGTCGTCTTACAGCCCAACCACCTGCAGTGGGTGTAGCGAATGAATTGCTCCCAAACAGTTATGAAACATCAAACTCCAAGTGAAAGACGCTCGTCAAAATGTAGCACCAATTTGATAAACGTACAAGTCACACATGCTCGGAGTCAAATTCCATTAGTCTGTGGGTGTCAAACTTTTCATGTCGGCAGCTATTTGCCAAGGCGTCCGGCATTAACATACCACTTTCAAAGAGTTGGTGACTAAAAAAAATAAACATCGTGCCAATGAATACTTCCACTGATTGGCACTGCCGCTGTTCCAGTTTGTAGTTTGAAGTCTGGCCAGCATTTGTCTCATATTCTCTTCAAATATCTCGTCACCTGTCTTTCGCTACTCGATGCAGCGCTAACCACCATATGTCCAGTGTAGTTGTCTTGGTTCTACTGTATGTTGGTGGGCGTAACATTTATTATAGGGGAGTGCATAATAGATCATTCCCTTTATATCGTCTTAACATGGCACTCGCAAAGCGTTGAGTGACAGCGCAGCGTGTGGGAAGATGACGACTTTCCGTAGTAGAATGATTTGCGGCGGATGAGGAAGGAGCAGTCTGGCAGCAGGGGCAGAAACTTCCTATGACGCCAGGATCATTTCTATAGTTACAAATGGTTACAAGGTTTTATGGTTCCGGTGGCTCAGAGAATAGACTTTAGGCGACATGGTGGTAACCTTGCCTACAAGCTGAATTCTCGCGGTATTTGTGAGTTCACAAACACTCGAGAATACATCTTGTCCCGCTCCCGCCAACTCTTTTCGAGTAGAACCAGGTGTTCAAGCCAATCACGCGCCAGTCTGGGGGTTTAGGGCGGGATATCCGGGTTTGACGAAAGCAAGAAGTGCCGGGCCGAAGCAAAACAAACATGGCTACGCAGGAGGACAGACGCGTAGCTGAGGCTATCAAGTCAGTTTTAGCAGAATCTCCAATTTCATTTTTTAAAGATGAACAGCGAGAGGCGCTTTGTGCATTTCTGAACGGCAAAGATGTTTGTGCATTTTGGCAAGAGATGACGACATAATGTTACCGGGATTGGTTTAAGTCAAACCTTGGTAGGCGGGCACACAGCGTCACTTCGCCCAATCAGCTTGAAGTATTCTGCTGCTTATCCCTCCTTTCCCCGAAAGGATTCTCCTGCAGAAGTCCCAGATTGATATTGTGGAGAATGCATTAGAGTTCTACACAATCATCAATCTGGCTCTTGCCAGGTTAGCATGGTGGCTGAGTGGATAGCACTCTCGCCTCTCAGCAAGAAGGTTTTGGGTTCAAATACCGGTCGGAACAGGGCCTTTCTGAGTGAAGTTTGCATGTTCTCCCCGTGTCTGCGTAAGTTTCCTCCGGGTACTCCGGTTTCCCCTACCACTAAAAATATGTGCAATAGTTCAGGGTGAATGAGTGTGTGTTTGTGAGTGTGAATGTGGGACAAAGGATTGAAATTAGCCCATGGCTACAATCCGGAGTGATGTGTTCATTAACATGTACTGTCCCATACAAATAAACAATAAATATTAAATAAATAAATATTTTAAATATAAATATTAAGAATGTTGTAATGTGGCTGTAGGTTTTCATTCCAACCAAGCCGGAGCACATCAGACTCCACTCATTTAATCAATTGGTATCAATGGTATTTAGGACGATTGTTTTTTCTCCACAGGACCACTCTAGTTTTATTTTTATCCTCCTCTGTCTTATGTCTTACATCTGGTCAACTACCGACAGAATGATGTTTTTTAACCTTTTTTTTAACCAAACCTCTGGGAGGCCCTTAATGAGAGCGGGATCCACTCCCCCGAATCAACAGGCTGTAGATCCTGGACTCAGGCAGTAGAACCAGGACAAACTCTATAGATCAATGCAACAAGGTTTTTGCAAATAAGTTGTGTAATGGACCTTTAATCATTAGTATGGGGAAAAACAAGCCGCAACTGTAACAACCCCATCCCACACACGCCAATCGGAAACTCATCAAAAGTCAAAAAGTGTTATCATCTGCAGGTGGGGGTTTCTGCTCTTGATTTGCATGTTAACGGATTACCCAGAAGACTTTACAAAAAAGGAGTGGTCGCGTCTGCCAAAGTGTGCGCTGCTTTGCCAAACTGCTCTGAGTGAGAGGAGGTGCGCAGGCTTTTCACAGGCTGCCATCTCCTCTCAGGTGCTCAATGGACGAGAACGGGTTATCTGCGTCTCTCTCTTTAGTCTGCCGAGTGTGGGAGGGTTTGGCAAGTTCGGAGCAACAACCGGATTGTGCCATGTAAAACGACAATGAATATGCTCCCTACAGGTGACATGGGTGATGTATGGGTTGTAAATATAGCATTGATTAAGGGGAACACAAGCGGATTTGTCAATGTTTTCATTGTGTTCAATTGAGAAACCGCTGTAGGGCACTTCATTCAAGTCAAACTAAAAAAAAGTCTCCTGGAGGGCATAACAACAAAAGACAGATGGAGCAGTTCAAAAGTGCAAAATTATTGTCCTTTATTGTTTCAAAGACTTTTTGGGGGAAACTGGGGGTGACCCAAAAGTCATTGCCAAGCCAAACATTTTCTTATAGTGAAGTTTATTTTGTAATTTCTTTGATTTTGGATCACCAAAAACATAAGCAAGAACCATGTATAGAATATAATATATATTTAGTCTGTAAATATTGTCAAACAGTTTGGGTCCCAGTACAAAGCCTTGAGGAACTGTGGAACGTGTGTAATGCTCTTATCTGAATTTGCATTTTGCATACACCAAACCATTTTGTTTACATGTGGAATCTATGATGAGTGTAACAATCAATAGACTGATCTATTTTGTCACTGTCTTATCTCACACGCATTCACAAGTGTTCACGTGTTTGAGTACATTGTCCGTGTCTATAAATTAATAGAGTGCGAATCTGAAGATTTTATTCAACTGTCAACATAAGAATAATGGAAACGCTTTGTTTCTGAAGTAATTCTGGCCTCTCCACAAGATAAAAACATGTCCAGTTTCAAGCAGAGTCATGGAGATCAAAGTTTTTTACTATTCACTCAACGGATCTTCAACATTTGCAAGAAACAGAAATGTTTGTGTTGACATCTTGACACAGGAAAGAGCTGGAAAAGCAGTCACTGGTTCTAAGCATGTTATTGTATGTTTTGTAACTAAGTCTTAAGAAATCTTCAAATGCCATGTTGTCTAAGGATTACGAGGTCATGCCTCAAAATTCCAAGGGATTTTCATTATAAATATGTAATTCTTTTTTTACAGATGCAATTTATACTGTGCACTTTTTCAAAATAGATAAACGAAAGCAAGTTTTTTATTGTTGTTTATTGGAGTACTTGCCTTTTAACCCTGAAGTGTGTATATTAATCATTCAGCTCTCACCTGGGCCTCTGCCATTTACTTTAAATCTACTTGACTCATCCACAGTATACTCTCAACTCAAATTTCAGGATTAATCATTTCTTGGGGCCTTTCCATTATAAAGCCAGAACGATGCTTGGGGGCAGAATTCAGAAATGACACCGGTGAGATGATGTGCATTGAATAAACACCTTGTGATTGTTCCATAATGGGATGGGATAAAAGTAAGTATGGCCTAGGGCTTACCTGTGCTGAGCAGCAGTAGCACCTTCATGGACAGGAACTCGTCATAGGTCAGCTGTAGCCTCACAAACTCCTGGCTCACCTGCCTCATGCCCAGACACAGGTCGTACATTGCCGACTGCTGCATGCGCTCTCTGTAAGTGCAAGAAAATATATTATATTTATAACTTTTCTGATACTAGAACCTATTTTGATTGCAGTGCATTCATCACATTTCAAAGAACGCTGTGGTGGAGGGCAACACAATCTGTCCTGGTCACTATGGTAACCGTCAAAAGTCAAGATTTAAAGTCTTATGTGGTGACAATATACAAAAAAATAAAACACATACATGATTTTGGGCACAAAGGACTTAGTAATTTTGCAGGTTTCTCTGAACATTTGCTTTCTTTCCAAAGACTCATTCTCCAACTGAAACTAAGTTGAGTTGTTTAATTAAAAGTACTTTGTAAAGACAATTTCATTTTGTAATCATTATCAAATAATCTGACCCATAATCAAATTGTTAGTATTGTCATTGTAAATAACAGGACAAACAAGGAATTTCCAAAACAAATAACAAAAAAAAACCTCTTTATTGATCACTAAATTAGTTTAGATTACTAAACTGTTGCCTCCTTAGAAGCTTCCCTGTGTTTATGTATCTTAAATTTTTTTTTTTTAAAACATACATATTAATTTGCTTTATTTATCTAAAAAAATGCAGAAAAAACCCCTCCTCTTCCCATACAAAACATAATCAATATTTATCCAAAATGTAATCAATGGAATTCTGGCATGAGTATCCCACAACATCTTTTGGACTCAAAGTGTTGGGAAATAACAGAATACATCCAAACACAACAGTATGAGCAACTACAAACAAACCCATATCTAGTAAGATACAAGTTTTGGCATACCCCAAGTATGCAGTAGCCCCACCTAGCATGTACAGTACAACCACCACTACTTTTTCTCACCCACTCTTGTATTTTCTGTCACTCAATCAGCGCTCTTTTTGGCATAGCCCCATCCCTCGTACACTGGCTCAGTCTGCTGCTGGTGAGGCTGCTGCTGGTGGTGGTGGTGGTTGTGGAGGAACTGTATTTTCTCTCAGTGCAGAGGAGGATGCTGCCTGCTCGTCTGGGCTGAGAGCAGAATACCAACTCCCTCCAGATTGCAGTCGGCGCGCTGCATATGACGGTATACTACTGCACGAATGCACCACTTCTGCAAAGTAACTGTATACGGCAACTTTGAGAGAAGGATGAGGCTCCACAACATCTGCAGTTATTCTTATAATGACGAGATTTCTACTGCTTTGGGTTCATGTTGGTTATGCAATGCAGTTTGAAAGGGCATTTTGTTCAGTTTGAGTTTTCCTCTAATGTAATGTGTGCAAGTTTCTTCTGCAAAGCTTTATACATTGACTTTACTTCAGTATTCAAGGTTTAGATTTGTCTGGTTTCAATATGTTTCTTGCTTTTTAAAAACATTATTTCAAAGCAAGGATATACCTAATTGAACTATGTACCGTACTAAACTCCATCCCACCTTCTAGTTCAATAAATTTAACATGCATTTATTTTTGTTTCCGTTTTTAAAGACAGAAAAGTGATAAAGAGAGAACCACCCTCACCATAACTACTTTATGCAAAAGACAACATGTTTTCTAATTATATGAAGACAGCATGTTGGGCTCTGAATTGTTATCAACATGTTTTACTCTACAATAGAAATGCACTTTATTGTTTATCAAAAAAACTTTTTGCCCATGTAGGAAATAAAAATCACATTATTGGCAAAAAGAATGGCACAGCGGTTAGGTTGGGTCAAATGCGATAGTACACATTTTTCTAAGTGGAAAATAAAGTTTAATTTAAGCTCAAAAAGCAAATAAACCTAGCCCCATCAACAATATTAAAATGCAGAATAATCATCCTAATTATGATTGTTTTATGAACAAATGACTCAATGTACCTGCCTTGGCCACAGAGTAAACAGCACTCCAGCAATCATTCAGGTTTTCCAAAGTTCTAAATTGGATCTTTAAAAAGTAATTCCATCTCCATGGAGACTAACAAGATCAATTTGACTCCTGCTAAAACTCTCTAATAGTTTGTAATAACCAATCATGGACCATTATGTGACGGAAATAGGCAATCTCCGGTCACCACTCTAGTACTCCTCAGTTACTACACGCTAGAGGCTCACCATTTACCTGACTGCATTTACACTGTGCCTTGCTTTAAACTCGTGCAGCAACCCCCCTCCTCCTCACCATACGTCCGCTATAACAAAAATACTACATGCGATTGCAACTCTATGGAAGCCCGTTTCCGCCATGTAAAAAAAAAAAAAGCCTACAGAAAGTCAAAATTTTGACTTTAAAAGTCCAAATTTCGACTTTAAAAGTCAAAATTAGGACTTTAAAAGTCAAAATTACGAGTTTTCAACTGTTAACTGCGTTAAAATGCAAACGGTCTCTCCGTTTATGATTAGAATCCGCTTCAGAAGCCTCTATTTAGTTTATCCTAAACGGACTGTGGAAGATTAATAAAACACATGTGGCTGTTCAAAGTCATTGAGCATCAACTGGTGACGTCTGGTCAGTATCATTGCTATCGATGGATGCACCAGAAATGCAGTGAATATTATTGTGACTGACAGAGAGACCGTTCGCGATTACTGGATAGTGAGGGAGGTCCGCAGACAGAGGCAGGAGAACCACAGACAGAGGCAGGAGAACCACAGACAGAGGCAGGAGAACCACAGACAGAGGCAGGAGAACCACAGACAGAGGCAGGTAAACCACAGACCAGAGGCAGGAGAACCACAGTCACGGGCACTGACATTATTACCCTTTTGGAATTGCGATCAGTGCATTGAAGAGTATGTGACGTGTTTGCGTGCATGCGGGGGTGAGCTGATGGAGCGTGCGGGTAAAGTTGTTGGCGTATGAGCAAGAACACAGAGACATATAGGGAATAAGTACCTTGTCTGATTATTTTATTGTGACAAAATAAAGCCCACGACTCTTTTAGCAACAATCCGGAGAAATAACTCCGCAGATAACAGTGAGGGTCTTTGAAAAGGTTTAGAAATAGATAAACCCATTATAGATGCATGAATAAAACCCTGTACTCAACACGTAGAAAGCGCATCCTTTCAGCCGTGGAAATACTCGCTCCGTGTGGACCCCTCTCAGCGTCATCGTCTGGTCAGAGTGGTCTACAGCAGATTGGATTGGAATGTCTCGATGGCTCATTTTCCTTTGATTTATTATAAAAACATATTGCTCACATTATTTGTTACTATGTCGAAATAAGAAGTCGTTTGATTTAAATGTTGTATATATGTAAATTGAATTTAACATAAATAAATAAAAAGACAGCTCCTCCCTGCGTCCTACGACCGCGGTCTGGGGCTTAAACAGGAAAGTTTTACAGAATCAATCAAACAACATTATTTCTGGCTACTTCAAGGATGCAGTGGTCGCTGTCAGCAATATCTTCACATAATCTGCAGGTGAAGGATGTCCAGAGGCCGTTCCAGACAACAACACATACGAGTTTTCAACTGCACATGCGCAGTTGAAAACTCGTAATTTTGACTTTTAAAGTCAAAATTTTGACTTTTAAAGTTGTAATTTTGACTTTTAAAGTCGAAATTTTGACTTTTAAAAGTCGTAATTTTGAGTTTTAAACTAAAAATTTTGACTTTCTGTATGCTTTTTTTTTTTTTTTTACATGGCGGAAACAGGCTTCCATACAACTCAAACACAATTCTAATAGATATTTTTGTCTGTTTGAGTCTCTCCAGATTTAAATGCAATGCGTACAAACATATTTCTTCATCTAACATATAACTAACTAATCCATCACCATTACCCAAGTCACAAATGTGCTGCACAGATGTCAAAGAGCGACTTCAGACTTTGGCTCCAGTGGCCATTTCCCAGTCACATAAATGATTCTGACATTTACATATACAGCCATTAAATACAAGTGGCTGATGTGAGAGGTCAGGCCTTTGCACCTGAGCCCGTCATTTACAGCACAGACAGCAACAACAATAAGCAGGGAAAAGGGACCCACAGTTCAAGTTTCTAGTAAACTGTGAAACATAATGGCAACAGCCTCTCACCATCCTCATTTATTTGTTTTAACACACCAGCCCCAAGGTCCGTGTTTGTTTGCAGGAAAACAGCTTTTCAAGGTGAGCCATAAAAATACACACACAAGGAAATGAATGCAAAAGTGATTTGCCTAATGGAATACCATTCATTCCAACCGGGCAAAGCAGTTTGCACATCTTTAAAGGAGACACATTATGTCAAATCGACCTAGAGTTATTCTTTGATGCAACAACGCTACTATCTGTGACTTCTGCCACAAACATCTCCCCTTCTTTCTAAAATCTAACAGTTCATGTCTCAGTCCTGTACTAGTGTGATATCATTGAACCACTATGACACTCAAAGCAATTTTCTGTCTTTTGAAACAATAGTGTTGCCCATAAATTAGTTTTGATAATTCCTCAGATGAATGATTTTTTGCGACCACAAAATTGTCAAATATGGAAAGAATTCAGCCCCTACCTCTGGTGGTATTAGTTACAGGCAGAAAGTATTATTGCACCATATATTTTCTACATTGGAAAGTGTATAAAGTACAGTACTAGCTTCCTAACACTTTTGGCTTCTAAACCACAACCGTTATTGTTCTTGATGGAGCCCATTAAAACTGGGGTGTCTAGCTACAAAAAATGGTTGAACCTTACTGTTTGTATCTATCATTCACATGCATGCAATTTCTGTCCTCTGTCACATCTATAGAGCATTTTTTCAGTCAGAAAAGTGCAAAAGAGAGGACCGCTCTTTTTCATCCAATCAGCTTTCAGGCCAACAAATATAATAGTGATGACAATGCTCCTCAGGTGCAGTCTAATAAGATAGAGACGCCATATTGTAGAAAAAGTTAGGGTACCCCAGCTTTAAAATTCATGATACACATTGCAAGTACTGTACATTTTTTCCCCTGACATGAAAACCGCCAACACTAATCTATTCATATCTATAAACTGGTCATTCTCAGTATATACTACATGACTTGAATGATTTTTCAAGTTTTTCCTGACCGGTTCACGAGGTGCG